TAGTCGATTCAGAGCTTCTCGAGGCCCAAAAGTGTTCTGGTAACAAAAGCGCCTGAACCGCTGGCGGAATACCTCTGGGTCGGGCGGTGGCGTCTCCTGCAGGCTGGAGTCCTGCCCCCACATGTGGTCTTCCTCATCTTCTTCTTCCACCTTCACGATGACTATACCATCCTTCTCCTGTGCAGCCTGTGGGGACAGACCCGTGGCTTCCCTTGACTCAGCAGTCATCATTCAGGCTTGGGGAACTGGTGGGGTTCAACAGGGTCAGGCTGGCGTTTCTGTTCCAGCAACTGTTTTCTATTGGTTTCTGCACTATTCCTAAAGTTAAAAACAAAAACAAAAACAAAAAAACAGTGGTAAGATATGTTTTAAAAAGTGACCTGGGGGAAAAAAAGTGACCTGGGGTGGTGGCGGCGGCGGCGGCAGCAGCTTTAATCCTAGCACTCAGGAGGCAGAGCAAGGCTGATCACTGTGTGTTCGAGGCCAGCCTGGTCTACAGAGTGAGATGCAGACAGGCACCAAAGCTACACAGAGAAACTCTGTCTAGGAAAACAACAACAACAACAACAACAAAAATCCATGCCAACAATAGCCAAAAGAATGCTGAAATCAATAAACGAATATCAGAAAAAAAAAGGATTTTAAGAAACACAAAATGTTACATAAAAACAGACATTTTGGGTTGGGGATTTAGCTCAGTGGTAGAGCACTTGCCTAGCAAGCGCAAGGCCCTGGGTTCGATCCTCAGCTTAAAAAAAAAAGTGACCTGAAAGCAGAAAAAAGTGGGTCCCTGGGCTCAAAGGCCTACCAGTTTAGCATTCTCGATGAGCTCCAGGCTAGTGGGGGTGCACATCTTTAATTCCAGCACTCGGGAGGCAGAGGCAGGCGGATCTCTGTGAGTTCAAGGCCAGCCTGGTCTACAGAGCTAGTTCTAGGACAGTCAAGACTACACAAAGAAACTTGTCTTCAAAAAACAAAAAACAAAACCAAACAAAAAAATCCAGACCAGAAAAAAAACAAAACAAAACAAAACCAGAAAGAAACTAAGGCCGACAGCAATTGAGGGACAACACTCACGGTTGTCCTCTGGCCCCCACATGTACCCACACATACATGAGAATGTTCACACGTGATACAAAGTGACTTGTGCTACTAATCCTTCATACAAGGCTACTAAGAATGCCTCTAGACATAAAGGAGAAATCACAGTAGAGCTGCACTGGCCTTGATGTCACTGCTAATATAAAGGTTTGCAAACAGAAGCCTTCTATGGGCGGCCTCTACCCTCAGGGTATTTGCCTGTAGTCAGAGCAATGTCCTTCCAGGGAGACAGCAGGTCACAAAATGGGGACATCCTCAATGCCTGTGCACCGAGTGCCAAGGGCTAAACTAAGCATAGCACAAGTCTCTACATCTACCCCACCACCACCCAATCCTAGCTGACAAAAAAATATTAGTATCTGTATAGACATGTAACTGAGTTTAGAACGCTTAATATTCTCAGGAGCAGATATGTCCCTGACACTGAAGCCAAACTTGAAGACACAGGACTTGCTGATGCACCATTTAGATCCTTTTAATACTTTCTGAGTGCTGTGGTGGGCCAAAGGCTGCAGCTTCCACATAGACTACAGAAAGCAAGTATCACAGTATCCGTATGTCCAAAGTGAGGGCTGGATTGGCACAGGTGGCAGCACATGCCTAGCATGCACACATGAGGCCATGGAATCACTCTACAATTCTGCATAAAACAGGTGTGGCATACACATTTGTAATCCTAGCATCTAGCACCACCAGGAGTTCAAGGTCATCCTTAGGCACATTCAGAGCCAGTGTAGGATACCCAAGACCCCTTTTGAAAGAGAAAGGGTCATGGGAGGAGAGGAAGAAAGGAAGGAAAGGGATAGAGGAGGAGAGGGGGGAAAACGGGAAAGGGAGGGGGTAAGGGAGGGGAGGGGGAGACAGGGCTTGTAGGAATAGGCAGGTGTAGAAGCCTATAATCTGAGAACTTGAGAGGCAGAGGCAAGAATCATGAATTCAACCTTAGAACAGCTCCAGACCAACCTGGGCAGCAGGAAGCTATCTTAAAAACAAAAACCAAACACTGGGCATGGTGGTGTATACCTTTAATCACAGCGCTCAGGAGGCAGACAGGCAGATCTGAGTTCAAGGTCAGCCTGGTCTACAGAGCAAGTTCCAGGACTGCCAAGGCTATGCAGAAAAACTCTATCTCAGAAAACCAAAACTAGTCCCCACCTCCACGCCACAAAAGTGAGATAAATTAAGTCATATTTTAACCTACAAAGAGGTCACTTGGTCTAAATGGTGAGCTGTAACATGTCACATTAGGTACCTTACATCCCAAGGGAAGAACTTCTCCTCTCAATTTGCTTGTTCAGTTTTGGATCCCGTGACATTCCCTTGTGTATCTGAGCTATATTACGCAAAATAACAGATTATTCTAACTGGCTTCACCTATTCTCTTCATAAGAGACTGGCAACTTTAAAGACACGAGGAGACTGTAACCAGAGGATTCATGACATAAAAACAAAACAATGGTACAGCTGAAGCTCCGCTGAGAGCAAGGTCTCAGCCACACAAGAGGCAAAACCCAATGCCAACCTACACCAAATTAAGAAGCATCAATGACTGGGAAAGCAGGCAGCTTTTAAAAATGTGTGAGTAGGGCTGTGGATATATCTTAGTATCAGAGTGTTTATTTAGTATGATTAAGAGAGGGATAAATGCATGGTACCACCAAAAAAAAAAAAAAAGGTCTGGAAATAACAATTATAAAATTAAGTAGTCCTATTGTTAAGAAATCCTAACTGCCAAAAAACCAATTATCAATTACCCTGAAAATCATCTTTCCTTTTTTTTGAGACTGGGTTTCTCTGTGTAACAGTTGTGGTTGTCCTGGAGCTCGCCTTGAATTCACAGAGATCCTCCTGCCTCTGCCTCTCTAGTGCTGGGATTAAAAGTGTGCACCCACCACTGCCCGGCTCTGGAAACCATCTTTAATATGTACATCCTTCTTGAAAAAAGTTATCTGTGAGTATGTGTGCCTTCATGAATTTATGTGCACCACATATGTGCAGGCGCCTGAGGAAAACAGAACAGAGTACTGGATGCAGATGGGTACTGGGAACGGGACCTGAGTCCTTGGTAAAAGCAGTAAATGTGGTGACATATTGTGTACCCCAATAAACTCACCTGGGGATCAGAGGACAGAGCAGCCACTAGATAAGACATAGAGGTCAGGCAGTGGTGCACACACCCTTAATACTACCACTTGGGAGGCAGAGATCCCCTGAATCTCTGTGAGTTCAAGGCCACACTGCAAACAGAGCCAGGCAGTGGTGGCACACGCCTTTAGTCCCAGGAAGTGACGGCAGGGCGGAGAAAGGTATATACGGAGTGAGCAAATAGGAACTCACTCTTTTTAAGCTGAGGATTTCATAGAGGTAAGGACTAGTGGCTGGCTGTTCTGCGTCTCTGATCTTTCAGCTTTCACCTTGATATCAGGCTCTGGGTTTTTTAATTTTTATTTATTTATTTATTAAAAGACCATCTAAGATTTGAACAAGTAAGCACTAAGGTTTGGAATCTCTACAGGGCTGGAGAGATATCCCTGTAGTTAAGAGCGCTTGTGTGATCATGAGGGTTGGGTTTAGATTTTAGCACCGCATCACAAGGTGAGTCTGCGTACCTGGCATACACACGAGCAACAGCACACACAAATAAATAAACCTTTAAAAATAACTTGGAACTACTTTCTAACTCATTTGAAATTTTTCCAAATGAAGAATTTCAATGGGAATTTGTCTCACCTGTCCTAGGGACTGCTCAGCTGGTCAGTACATTTACCTGCTAGCCAGATATCTCCCCAGCTTGGAGTTAGAAGTCTTTAGTAATAATAAGCCCCAACTTTCTGGTGAGTTTGCAAGACCTGATTGCGGATTTTCAGAAACCTTAAATGCTCCATGGCACTTTCAATCTTACACTGGAGGGGCTGGGGAGATGGCTCTGTGGTTAAAGTCCTAATTGCCAAGCCCGAGGACACAAGTTCCCTCCCCAGTATCCACACGACAGAAGGAGAAAAACAATTCCTGCAAGCTGTCCTGACCTCCACAAGCACATACTTCACAAACAAGCCCCCGCAACCCCGCACACTTGCTCAATAAATGTAAAAGAAAAAAGGAATCAGACTTGGTTAAGGGTACTGCGGTTGTGCCTGTCCCTTCTACTGTTAAAAACAGGGACAATGGTAGGCCCTGCAAGCCCAGTGTGCTGTGACACACTATCAGAACGGTCAATACACACTAGTCGGATTAGTTTTTAAACAATCGTGGAAAATGAAAACAGACTTAAACAGACTTGCTGAGTATGATGACTGCGATTCTCCTAGCTGAACCTACTAGTCTTTGGAAGTATTGTTTTCACTTCTACATATCCATCAAAACTAAAGGATCCTGGGGCCAGCAAGACGGCTCAGTAGGTACAGGCAGTTGCCATTAAGCCTGGTGACCTGCGCAGATCCCTGGGACTCACATGGTAGAAGAACAGATTCCTGAAAGCTGTTCTCTGACCTCAACCTCCCCATACTTGATTTGTCTGTACCCAAATAAATAAATAAATGTAAGTTAAAAAAAAAAAAAAAAAAAAAAAAACAGGCAGTGGTGGCACACACCTTTAATCCCATCTCAGGAGGCAGAGGTAGGTGGATCTCTTGGGTTCCAGGACAGCCAGGGCTACAGAGAGAAACCCTGTGTGTGTGTGTGTGTGTGGGGGGGGGAGTTACTAAAAAACAAAAAACAAACAAACAAAAAAAACCCCAAAAACATGCTAGGGAAATGCTCTTAATACTGAGCTATGTCCCCAGCTCAAGCCAATACTTTTAAACTAGGAGAGCATTAGATTTGGTAGAAATGGGATCGTGTACATGTACTAACATAAAAACTATCTTTCAGTGATAATGTAACATACTGGTCCTTATAGAGCCGCCGCGGGGCCGCGCTCGGACAAGACAACATGGCGGCGGCGCTGCTGTTGGCTTTGGGCTTCGCGCTCCTGGGCGGCCAAGGCGCCTGCGCTGCGGCGGGCACCATCTTAACCTCCATCAACGACGACGGCTCCAAGACACACCTAACGTGCTCTCTCAACAGCAGTGGCGTCGACATTGTTGGCCACCGCTGGATGAGAGGTGGCAAGGTACTTCAGGAGGACACGCTCTCCGACCTGCAGATGCAGTACACGGTGGACACAGACGACAGCTCTGGGGAATATTCCTGCATCTTCCTTCCCGAGCCCGCCGGCAGGGGTGACATCCTTGTGGAAGGACCACCCCGGATCAAGGTCGGAAAGAAGTCGGAGCATGCCAGTGAGGGAGAGAATGTGAAACTGGTCTGCAAGTCTGATTCATCCCACCCTCCTATCACTCAGTGGAACTGGTTTAAGACCTCTGACTCTGGAGACCAAGAGATCACCAATGGCTCCGAGAGCAAGTACGTCGTGATATCCACAGCGGAGAGATCTGAGCTGACCATCAGCAACCTGGACATGAATAGCGACCCTGGCACCTACCTGTGTAACGCCACCAACCCCCAGGGCACTGCCCAGGAGAGGATCACACTGCGTGTGCGAAGCCGCCTGGCTGCCCTCTGGCCCTTCCTGGGCATCGTAGCTGAGGTCCTGGTGTTGATCACTATCATCTTCACTTATGAGAAGCGACGGAAGCCCGACCAGATCCTGGACGAGGATGACCCTGGTGCCGCCCCACTGAAGGGGGGCGAGCATCACACCAAGGACAAGGACAAAATTTGATCCCAACCCAGCGTCTACCTCCACTCCCTGGTCCCAACTGTCCCTACCTGAGCCTACCCGCCCCCCCCTCCTTTCCCAACCCGGGTGAAGACAGAACCTCACCGTGCAGAAAGCCCACTTGGAAGACGCAAGCTGCCCACAGCACCTGTTTTTAGTTTAAACTAAACAAGGTTTCTATGCAGAGAATCCATTCCTTAGGGGTTTCTGTTGTTTGATTTTGTTTCCCTTCCCTTTCTCAAGTGTGTCACTGCAACCCTGTGGAGTGGGGGAGTGGGTTTTTGTCCTTGGCCATGAGGGAGAGGCCAGGGCAAGCTCTGACTTCTTGGTGGAGGGGGGCCACCACCTGCTCCCCTGTATGAGACTGCCCATCCCCACCATGGGCAACATGGCTGGGCCTGCTGGGACCCCACAAATAGAGACCTACCCCACCACTAAAATAAATAAATAATATAACATACTAAATATCGAGAACAGAACAGGCATGCAACTTTTTGTAGGTAACTGGGTTTAAAAAAACCTTAAATTTATTTTTGTGGACTCAAACATGCACATGCCACAGTGAGCTACAGGCGGTCAGAGGACAACTTTGGAGAGTCTCCTACCCTGTGAGTCCAGAGGACTGAGATAAGCCATCACACTGCTTGCAGTGGCTGTTCTGACAATGTTTTCTTCCCATCCCAATACACACAACATACAAAGGTCAGTGCAGTATTGCCTGGGGACACTTACTTCCTTCAATTACGGTCTGTGAATCTCTGATACACATCATTTCAGCTTTCAAGGGTCTCCACGGTTAGGACACATTCTACTCCTCTGTTCCAGCCCTACTGCACTCTTCGGGTTAGCAGTACACCCCCTTATTTCTAGTTATATGGACCAAAATCGGTATCTTCACTCTGTCCCTGTTTCGCTCACCCTTCAAGATGCATACTGCCTTCTGATTCATCTAGCTTAAACAAGGAGATGGGGAGTTGGGCTGTATAGGTGGGGAGGACCATCCCTGCTATTTCAGTCCCCCTTCCACCCTCTTCTTCAACACTGAGTAGCCCTCACCTGCGGGGCCTTAACCTTACCTTCTTTGACTCCCCCTCTTCAAATGCACTGACTCTCCCAGAACCAGAATGAATTGTTGTTGTTTTGTTTTTTTGAGACAGGGTTTCTCTGTGTAACAGCTCTGGCTGTCCTGGAACTCAGAGATCAGCCTGCCTCTGCCTCCCAAGTGTTGAAATTAAAGGCACAAGCCACCACACCCAGGCTGAGTGAATTATTTTTTGAGAAAGGGTAATACTACATATCTCTGGCTGGCCTCCAACTCATTATGTAGCTGAGGATAACCTTTAACTTCCAATCCTCCTGCCTCTACTTCCTGAGTGCGAGGATTACAGGTGTGAGCCATCATATCTGTTTTATGCAGTGCTGGGGATGGAACCCAGGGCTTCACGCCTGCTACATCCATGACACATCCACAACTCTGAGTGAAGTAACTCTTTGTTCGTATTGGTTGTTTAGCCCAAGCTCAATTCTGGCTTCTTTGGCTCTCCACTTCTATTTCCTCCCTACCCACCCATAATTTACTTGCTACTTCACTCTGATGATTTTTCCTCAAATTCCACAGCCCCAGTTGGTGGGCTCCATTTTGTCTCCGCTTCCCCTCCCATCAACCTTCCCACTCAGCAGAACGATTCTGCCCACTGACCTCGTCCATCAGTGATGCTCACCAACACTACAAAAGGAGAGAGTAACAGCTAACATTTGCAGGTGCTAAATAACCCACGGAGCACTCCCTGGACCACATACCAACAGTCTTATGAGGCAGCTACGATTATCAGCTTGCTCTGTAATGTGAAAACTGGAGTTTACAGACAGTACATGACTCACCTAAGCTCTCAGCACAAGTAAATACTAGAGCAGACCCTGAAACTAAACCTGTCACAACTCAGGACAAGTTCTATTTTTAATTTATGTTTTTCTTTTTCCAGTATGAGTGTGATGTGCCTGTGTGTAGAAGCCAGAGGTAGACAGTGGATGTGTTCCTCAATTGTTCTCCACCTTCCTGAGGCAAGATCTCTCACCTGAACCCAGAGCTTGCTGATTCATCCAGGCTAGCTGGCCAGCTTGCTTTGGAGATCCTGTTTCCACTTTCTCAAGGGCACGATTATAGGTTCATGCCCCTAACACCTCCCCACCCCCGGTTTTTCGAGACAGGGTTTCTCTGTGTAGCTTTGGAGCCTGTCCTGAAACTCACTTTGTATACCAGGCTGGCCTTGAACTCACAGAGATTTGCCTGCCTCTGCCTCCCAAGTGCTGGGACTAAAGGCGTGTGGCACCACTGCCCGGCTCACCTGGCTTTTTACATGGGTGCTGGGGATCCAACCTCAGATCCTCATGCTTGTACAGCAAACACTTCACCAACTGAGCCATCTCCCCAGCCCCACATATTGATATCCTCTTACTTTTGCAGTGCTGGGGATCAAATGCAGGCCTGGTGCATGCTAAAACCCCTGCCCAAACATTCTTTTAGGAAAATTCATGACGGGAGGATCAAAAGTGCAAGATCCATTTGTATTACAAAGTGAGTTCAAGGACAGCCTGGACAACTTAAGTGAGAGCCCTGTCTTAAATGAAAATCAGACCCAGGTGTGGCGGCACAAACGTAATCACAGCACTTTGGGAAGATGTCAGGAGCTCACTGACATCTTGGGCTACACAAGACATCTTAAAAGCCAAGAAAATGACATCAAAAACACAAATCATGAATAAAACAAATACAAAATACAAAAAAAGTCGGGCTGTAGTGGCACAGCCCATGAAGTCTAAGGCCCTGGCTGAGTCGAACAGTATCTGATTGAATTTACCATGTTACTACTTTTTTGCGTGTTCATTTTCCATTCCACGTTTTTTCAAATTAAACAAATTAACTTAGAAACTCTGAGAAAAGTTTCTGGCACTTAGCAGGCACCTGGGAAGTTTCACTATTTAAAAAAGAACGTAAGGGCTGGGTGACACAGCTCCACGGCAGTGCACTTGCCGAGAATACATACGGCCCTGGGTTCAACCTCAGTACAGCAAGACAGAAAACAAGAAGGAGCCAGGCTGAGTGGAGCATGCCTGTATTCCCTGCACTTTAGAGGTGGAGGCAAGGCCAGCCTGGCCTACAGTGAATTTGAGGCTGCACAGGGCTATTTGAGAACTGGTCAGAAAACAAAACAAAAAAACATTTAAAAAGTAAATTCAAGAGATTTAATCGCAGATTACAATTTTTCAGCCTGCCTAAAAGATTAGCATGGAAGAAATCCTGTAACAGTGAAGGCACTGTGTGCTGAACAAATGAATTATATCCCCTGCAAAAGAAGTCACACATCTGTTGAGTGAGTTACTTAACCAGTCTGGTTTCCGGTATTCTTACTAGCAATGGGGTAGGAACAGAGGGGAGAGGCAGAAAACCACCTACGAGGTTCCTCTGAGAAACATTCTGACATTGTCATGTCCTTCAGAAAGGTTCACAGCCCAGCAACCAGACCTTACCAAAGAAAAACAAATGACTTTCTGACAAGAAAAGACCCGGGGCTCCATGCTCCATTTTATTTCAAAGGTTGTTTTCCCAAAGTCCAGTGTTTCTTCAATGGCAGTCTTGCAAGTTTAAATAAATGATCCTCTGTTTTTGAATATGAAAAAGTTATTCTTTTTTTTGGGGGGGGGGTTTCGAGACAGGGTTTCTCTGTGTAGCTTTTATTCTTAAAAGATAACTGGTAGCCTAGTGTGGTGACAAGTGCCTGTAACCCCAGCACTCCCGAGGCAGTAGCTGGAATTCCAAGGTCAGCCAGGGCTAGAGAGACCCTATTTTTTTTTTTTTTAAAAAAGGACACTTAAAGAATATCAATACCACTGCAGAATGAAAAGCTAAGATTTATAATTTAGTACATTGGTCTGGTTGAATTTAAATACAGTATAAACCACTTGAAAAACTTTCGAGAGAGTAAGTAGAGAATTAACAAAAGATAAGTTTTTATTAGCAGGCATCTCTGTAATTTAAAAATGATGAAACTGAATAAAATGAGTGAGGATCTTGTGTAGTAATTCAAAGAGGACACACACCCGAAGAAACCATCTGGAAAATCTTCACTATAGGTCCCTTGTAAAAAAGCCATTTCCCCACATTTGGTCGGCTTTCCTAGCAACTTCACTTGTTGATGTGGTTACAATGAATTCATACTTCAACAAGTATTTATTGACTGCCTCCAATCCGCCTAGCACTGCCCTGTACAATAAATGCTTTCTTTGGTTCCGGGCCATGGAACAGCCACTCTCTATAATCAAAGTGTGTGTGTGTGTGTGTAAGGAAGGGGAGTGTCAGGTTAAATGATTTGTTGTTTTCAGTTACATTCGACCAACTTCACTCATTTTAATTTGGAAGAGCCTTTTTGAGCAGAGGTAGTTAATTTTACGGATAATAAAACTGACAGTTGACAATTGTCTTATTCAAGGTCATTAAGCTGATCAATCTCCTACTGCCCCAGTGTGGTTCCCAGATACCCTTCACATCTCACTCACTCCAACCAAGCAAAGTGAACTAAAAACTATTTGCTAGACAGCACATTTAAAAAGCTGAAACCAGCAAGGGCTTCTGAAGCATCCCATAAAGCCGAGAGCCGGTGGTTAATTCGTACTACGTCTTTAACCACTCTCAAGCTTCCAGCGCTTTCGCTCAGTGTTGGGAGGCGGAGAGACAGAAAAGCAGGTGATCTGGAAACGTCGGCGGAACCTCAGAACGTGTGCAGAGCTCAAGGTCTTCCGCAGCGTTCATCGGTCTCACTATTCTCAAGGACCCGGGACCGGGGAGTGAAGGACAGCACTAAAACGAAAACCACACACACTTTTCCCTGCAATCACAGCAAATGGCGCCGGAGGGAGGGGGAGAAGAATCTAGACACAGGCATCACGTCCACTCGTGATCTCGTCCTCAGAAACGTCATACGGAGATGATGACACGAAAGGGTGCCCCACTGACCCCAGGGTTCCGAGCACCCCCGGAATCCGGCAGGGTTCCTTTCCAAGCCCCCCGGGTGGTCACACGGCCCACCCTCGCGGCCCGCCCGTCCTCGCGAGAGTCCGCCATGAGACTCACCGTGAGTCTCCGGAGTGGCCTGGGGACACCGAGCAACCAAGCACGGCTGACTCCCGGGCTCAACCCGGCCGAAGGGCACCGCACACCAACCTAGGCCCTCCCAAACGCCTCGCCACAGACACAATGACTCACAAAGACCGGAAGTCAGTCAGCTCCTCACCTTCCGGGACCGCTCCACGCTTCCGGGTCCTCTCTAGGAACGCGGGAGGACTTGGCATCTCGGTTTCCGAAGCGCTTGCCCTGGAGTCGCCCGCCCTCCCCACCCCCATCCCCAAGTCCTGATTGTCGGCTTCAGTTCCAGAGGCGACAGATGGAGGTGATGGAGTGATTCTGTTCA